AACACAGGCAGTAAGTAATTGAAGCAGGTTTCTTTTTTTCAGCTAGGCAATTGGGGTTAAGTGACTTGCCCAGGGGCACACAGCTAGTAAGTGTCTGAGGCTGAATTTGAACTCCAGTCCTCCTGACTTCAGGGCCAAAGCTCTATTCACCATGCCACCTAGCTGCCCCCAAAGTAGGTTTCAAACCCAGGTTCTTTGATGTGAAGTCCAGTACACTTTCCACTCTCCTGCCCATGCTGAAGAATGGGTGTAATTTTGAGCTTCAGCTAAGATAGCTGGTAGTATTGGAAAAGGGGGAAGTTAATAGGAGAAGCTGATTTCTGAGGGAAGGCCATGAGCTCAGTTTTGGATACATAGAGTTTGGGGGTACACTAAGGCAGTATCAATCTCTGTAGGATTCAGGCAAAGATACGCTGTAGGCAACTGCAGAGACAGGGAGCTTGGCTAAGAAGTAAGGGAAGAAGGGATGTACAACTGGGGAATAAACATACTCGTCGAAACTGTGGGACCGAGAAACTATTCGCTAAGGGAAAGGAGAGAGACCCAAGAAGAACAGACGACCAAGAACTAAAACCAGTTAGTGAACCAGAAGAAAGGAGCCAGCAGTAGAAACAGAAAGGAGAGAAAGGCAGGAAAAAAAAAAACCAAAACCCTAAAACATCTTGTGTTACCAAGACCTCAAGACTAGTAGTTTTCCCAGTGGAATGATGGTTGATGTCTACACCTGGAATTTGTCCATCTTTTGCCTCTACAAGTCCTCCACGTCCTTCAAGGCCCAGCTCAAATGCTACCTCCTTCCTGAAGACTTCCCTGGATACCCCAACCCACAGAGACCTCTCCTGCATCTGAACTCAATGTCTGCAGTATTCATCGGGCCTATGGCACAGTCATAGACTAGTTCTGGAAGGGACTTGGAGTGCATCCAGATCAACCCCTTCATTTTACAAGTGAAGAAACTGAGGCCCAGAGAGCGGTAGTGATTTGTCTGGTGTAGAAAGAGCTCTACATGTGGATTCAGAAGTCCATGAATTTGGGTACAGGATCTAACAGTAAAGCACCATATATGCATTTCAGCAATTATATATGTATGTCCTATCTCCTTCACTAGACTGTAAGCTCCCTAAGGCCAGGGACCACCTTTTATTTCTTGCCTTCACTCATAGTTTCTAGTGCTATGCCCTTCACGCAACACAGTAAGCACTCAGTAAATGTTTATTGAATGAATGAATGAATGAGGAGGAGGGAGTTCAGGTGTAGAGAGGGAAAATGGTGGAGGTCCAGGCAGAAAAGGGGTCCTGGAGGTTAGTCCAGGAGGAACTAGGATTCCTGTCACCTGCCTCTCTGGCCCCACATAAAAAGTCCTCCCCTTCCAGGTGGTGAGCAGGTACACAATCTGATAAACAGGGCTTTAAATGGGACAGGGAAGGAAGCTAGGGGAAACTAGGAGGGAGGCATGAGACCGGGAACAGGGGACAGGCAGGCTAGCATTCCAAGGGGGGAGCTGGCTGTAGGGTTTTGAGCAGAGAGACAGCTACATCTCAACTGTTGGCAGTTTTTCCTGAGAACAGTAGGCAGTGGGAATGGGGCTCTTATCACCACTGCATTTCCTCATCGGAGATGCTTACCAGGAAATGATTGTTTGTTCTGCAGGATGTCTGAGGCTGTTCCCACTTTGTGAGAACTCACTGGGAAATAGAGTTCAGATCTTGAGACCAAGTGCAATCCCCTCATCTTACAGACAAGGAAACAATTTCAGAGAGGTTAAGCAACTTTCCCAAGGTTGTGCAGCTAACATTAACACAAATGGGGCTAGACCTCAGGTCTCCTGACTGGCGCCCTTTCTACTCTTGAGACTGAGCTGGGGCAAAGAAGTTCATCTTCCCTGTTTCCCTCTCTGCTATGGGAATAATCAGTCAGTAAGACCAGGATATAGGGGAAATGAATAAGTACTCTTACTGAAATGCTGGGAAGGCAAAAGAGGGGAAAAGGCTGGCTCCAATCCCCCTTGCCCCAACCTCAGGGGTCAGAAGCACCTAGACTTCACAATGTACCTGCTCTGTTCTGTGTAATAGAGTGAAAGGGGAGAGAAGCCCTGGTGTTCTGAAACCTCTGGATATAGATCAACCTGTTGTCTCTCCACTGCCAAAACTGAAGACCTGCAGACTTAGCTCCCCATGACCTAGGCTTTCTCCTTGCTCTATACCAGGGCTGCTGAGGCCAGTGCTGGTCTCAGGAGCCACCCAGTGGTGGTGCTAGGAATGGCCGCCAGTCTACCTTGCTGTGACCCTTTCTTAGAGCAGCAGCCTTTGACCCTGCCCTTCTTGAATGACTTCTCCTCCCAGCTTCTGCTCTCCCACTCCCTCTGAGCCCTTTTTGTCCCAGAACCTACTGTGGTGCAGTGGGGGAAAAAAGCATTGGAGTCAGGGGACCTGGGTTCAAGTGCTGACTCTTGTCTATTATCTTCATGTCTTGGGGACTTAACTGTAAAATGAAGGTTGGTGAGGAGGTCAGGCAAAAGTCTCTAAGAAAGTCCTGTCTAGTTTTAAATACTAGCATATGGAGTCACTCTTCTGTCCACAATGGAACCATACCAAAGGGTGACCCAGCAAGGGGTTGGGGAAGAGGAATTAAGGCAAGAAGGAGCATTTGTTCACCGTCCTAGGTAATGCAGCCATGCAATCAGCCACTGCTGTGCTTTATGGGCACGAGCTGGTGACTCCATCACTACTCACTGCCTCATCTTTCTTTTTGCCTTCCTCATCTCTTCCCTTGTACTTGTTCCTCCCTTCCCCCTTCTCTCTGTCTCTCCTTCCCTCCCTCCTTCTCCTCATCCTCTTTCCCCCCCTCCTCTTTTTCTCCCTCCCTTTCTCCAGTTTCCGCCCCCCCCTCCACCTCTCTCTGTCTCCCTCAGCCCCTTCCCATCACTCTGCCCAGACCTTCAGTACAGACACTCCCTCTGGGATTCTGCAAGCTTTCCTTCCCCCATACTCAACCCTAGCCAACCAAAGACACCAGCTGTTTTCATCTGTTAGAGTGTAACCTTCTCTCAGCCTCAACACGAGAGGAGCATACTAGGCATGGGCAGGGGATAAGGGGGTGGGGGTGATTTTCAGGGTAGACTCGGGGAGATGGTCTGTGTTTGGAGAGTGATTGTAGATAACCAGCCCTCTCAATGGACTAGTTCCACCTGTCTCCTGTTCTTTCTCCTTCTTATGAACCTAAGCACAGGAGGCAGTGTTTGGGGCCAAGGAGGTACACATGTAACCAGCACGCATGCAGGTTTTTGTTGTTTTTTTGTCATGTAGACCAGTGTATTTTTGCAATGCGCACATAGTTGTACCTGTCTTTGTCTCGAGCATTTTCTTGTGCTCTCACACACACATATGCTGCCCGCGGTCCCCCCTACCCCAATCTTTTCTCCTCTCTTCCCCTCCTCCCCCACTCTGACCAACTTGGGAATAGGTATATGAGCTCCCAGGGATGTTTGCCTACCAGAAACTCCAATTTTCCAACACGTAAGCTGCCTTATAAGTGCACTAAACTATGCAATCCAGTCACGATAGTGGAAAGAATCCTGCATTTGGAGCCAAAGTGTCTCTGTTCCAACTTCACCTCTGCTGTGAATGAACCATTTGACCCTGGGCAAGTCACTTAACCTCTGGGCTTCAGGCTTCTCATCTGTAAAAGGAGGACTTTTGAGTATGTGATGTTATGAACCATAGAGCTTAGCTAATCCAACCCCCTCGATTTGCAATTAAGGGAACTGTGGCCTAGAAAGAAGGCTAGCTTTGCCCATAGTCACACAACACAGCATCTCCAGGAGTTTTTCTAGTTTGGAATATTATGTGATATTATGGTGAGTCCAACACTCTACTTTCCCACTATCTTTGAGATTGTCCTGTGTGAGTACATGTGCAAATGTTTTCATGCATGTACATGTTTTCATGCGTGTGCCATATTGGTTCAAATCTGGGCTGCCCTGCTTTCTGTGAAACCTCAGTGTACCCAACACTCAACCGGTGTTACTCTTCAGAGAATACCTCTCTATAATTGTTTCTTTCAAGGAGATCTGATGTCTAGGGTGTAGCTTCTTCTGTTCAGGTAGCTGATGTCTGGGCTGATATCACCATGAATGCCCCGAGGTCAGACACACATCTTTCTGTGCACAGACACTTCTCTCCACCCCCTAATGCTGACTCCTTTCTTGCCTTGCCTCTTCCTGCTCCAGATCCTCATCTCATCTATGTTTTAGCTGCCTGGTTGCTCAGCACCATCTGATCTGGGCAAACCTCCATCCAGAGAGCCAGTGGTGTTCCTCTTGGGCTTCTGTACATTGCCATCTGTTGCCCCCACTCCCAGACCTACCTTCTCCCCCAGGCCATTGGCATGGGTACAGCATCAGCCTTATGTCCTGACACCTGAGAATCCCTTTTCTCCTTGACCTAGAGAATAGCCTGGCACCCACCAGTCCTCTTCAAAGCCGGGGAGAGCTAGTTACAGTGTCTGGAACGTAGTCTGTTCTCACAAGACAATTATATAAAAATATATGCATGGAGGAAGCATCATCCTCTAAAACACATCAGATTCTGAGAAAATAGGAATTGGGGTTTGTAGGTGAGGCTCAGGCGAGGGAATTGGGCTGGTATTGTTTCTGAGTAATTAGCCAGGGTTGCTCAAAGATGCCATGGGCACCATCTTCTGTCACTCTCCTGCTCTGGTTACAAATTACCCAACAGGGCTTGGGACATGGTGAAGGACAGGAAGCTAACAGGTGTCAGGATCCCAAGATCCCTCCATTTTAGGGATGGGGGAAGCCTAAGGTCACCAGGCTAAGCCACAGGAAGCCACATTCTTGGAGGACTTCCCCCACCCCAGTTCCCACCCCCTTCCTGGCTTTTCCCTCCCTATGCTCCCACTCCCACCCAAATCCTTCCCCCAGAAGCCCTGAGAGGCAGAAAGAGACTGACGCTGTCCCCCTTCCGTGTCTTTTCCTTACCCAGAGTTTCCCTACACCCCGTCTCCAACCGAACACGACAAGCGATCTGGGTCCAGCGTCCCCACGCCCATCATTGGGGGCGTGGTGGGGGGCATCATCCTGGTGCTGTTTGTGGCGTTGGTGCTTGTGGTCTACTTCCGCCGGCGCCGACACACCTTCAAGGGGGACTACAGTACCAAGAAGCATGTCTACGGCAATGGCTATAGCAAGGCGGGCATTCCACAACACCACCCACCCATGGCCCAGAACCTCCAGTACCCCGACGACTCAGATGATGAGAAGAAGGCTGGCCCACTGGGGGGGGAGCAGCTATGAGGAAGAAGAGGAGGAAGTGGGTGGGGGTGAGAGGAAGGTCGGGCCCCCACACCCCAAGTTTGATGAGGACGTCAAGCGACCCTACTTTACCGTGGACGAGGCTGAGGCTCGATCTGACGGTTATGGGGACCGGACTCTTGGCTATCAGTATGACCCTGAGCAGCTGGACTTGGCTGAGAACATGGTTTCTCAGAATGACGGGTCTTTCATTTCCAAGAAAGAGTGGTACGTGTAGCCCCGCCTCTATGCCCGCTCCCTTCCCCCCTCACCCGCACGACCCCAGCCCCCGAGTCCCCGAGGAGCTCAACAGAGACTCAAGTGCCCCACCCTGAAGCCCCTCCTATACTCTCAAGGTACATGGGGGGAAGAATCAAGCTGGGGCAGGGGGCTACTTTATTTTTTAACTCTTTCCTGGATGACTGCCTTCCACTCCCTACCCCCTCCTTCACCCCTTACTCCCACTTCCTGTGGTGTTGTGTTCGACTGTGGCTTTGGTGTTCCTGTACTTTCTTTTGACTACTATCTGCCCCGTGTATATGGAGCCTGTTCATGTCTTGTTGTCTGGGATATGAGGGGGCAATGGTACCCAGCCATTTCCCTTATCCCCTGTCCCCAAACACTGGAATTTGTTTATATGTTGTCCTCATTTTTTTTTTCTTTATAGAGGGGGAGGGCTCCCCTGGAAGAAGCCCATCCCACCTCTCCTTCCCCAATGCTATTCCCTTTTCCTAGGATGGGTGAACCTAGGACCACCTTCCTCTTTCAACCTACCATGATTTAGCTAGAGAGAATGGATGATTGTAGACCACCCTGACTCATCCAGATGGGAGGGATGAAGGATTAGAGGAAGCAAAGTGATGGGATAGGACAGTTGCCTCCAAGGATACCATTTAAATAAGAAAAATATGGGTTGTTGACTGATAATGTAACGCCTGCACTGGTCACAGTATATTTTGCATTTTTTTTCCTCATTGCCTAACAAAAGGTTAGGTTAGCCATGATTTGATTGCTCTCTTAGACTCCAGCGCATGCGCGCGCGTGCGCGCACACACACACACACACACACACACACACACACACACAAAATATATGCCTACCATTGTGATTTCTTCTCTGGCCTTTACAGGAGCACCATATCTATTACCCTCAGCTATGAGCTTCACTCCAGGTGGACACTGCCCAGGGTATGGCCACTTCTCTTCCTTACCCCCAATTCAGGGTATCTTCCCCCAGAAAACTGGGGATCATCCCCAGCTGAGTGAGTTGGGGAAAGAAGCCTCTCAAAGAAAAACTAAGATCTGAACATGATCAGATCAGATAAAACCCTAATATGGGGCCACCTGTCTAGACCAGCCTACACTCGAATTCCAAGACCTTTGTGTCTTAGTCCCAGCCCATCCTACTGTCTAAGGTGCTGATAGTTTCTTGGTTTTCTCTCTTTCTGTCCCCATACACAGCCAAACCCAACTTTGCTCCCCAGATCTTCAGAGGAGGTGGCCCTAGGGGCTTTCAATATAGAATGAAATTATGTAGGGATTTAAAGGTGAAGAAATGCTGTGTGTGTGTGTGTGTGTGTGTGTGTGTGTGTGTGTGTGTGTGTAGGGAGAGGAAAGAAGAGTTGGTAAAAAACTCTTACATAGGGCACTGTATAAAACTCTGAAGAGCACAGATTGATGTTATACCATATGCGAGTCAATACTAATGAAGTAACAACGTTTAATAAAAAGGGGAAGGGGGGCAGATGGATTCCTGAGTTCAAGCCGTGGAGAGTTTCTCTTCTGTTGTTTACCACCTCCACTGTCCTTCCTGCCCTCAGATTTCATGGTGTTCTTCTACCAAAGGAGGACTATGGAGAAGGCATCCAGATTAATGCGCAGCCCCCCTTGGTCCCTGGCTCCCTGGTTTCCCTACCTGTAAATGGAAAGAAAGAAAGGGTTCAGCACAGAGGGAATTCTCTCCTTCCTCTGCCTCCCCTCCAAGTTCAAAGTGCCTCAATCCCCTCAGCCCTCAGAGGGAAGGGGGACTTCTCAGCAGCCTTCCCTCTCCCTAAGCCCAGTGTCCTGTCCCTAAATTTGGAGTGATGAGCATGGGAAGAGAAAATTCAAGAGGGACTTGACTCTTCCCCCTTTGCTTCTGACAGTGAAGTCCCTTTCCACAAAGAGCACCAGAGACAGGTGTCAGGGAGAGAGGATTGAAAATGCTGTCTGACCAACAATTCCCACTCCTACTCAGAGTTCTGGGTCCCACTTGATCCAACTAAGGGCCATAACTAGAGAGAGAGAGTGGTTCTATGGAATGATAGGCAATTGTTTGGGGTGGGGGAGGCATCCTGGAGAGCATGCATTCAGGCAACCTCTTACCATTTGCTTATTTCCCCTATACCAGATGCCACTGTAGAGACCTAGGCAACCTATAACTGGGCCTTAGTTTCCTCACTTGTAAAAACTAGATGAATTCTTCTTGCTCTAAACCTTAGGGTCCTATGATACTACCCAGAAAGCCATCCTCTCACCCAGGTGCTGCTACTTTACAGAGACTTCCTTCACCCTCTTTGCCCTGGTCCTGCTCTCATCCCACCATCTCTGAACATGGGTGAGTTTTCCAGCCAACTTCTGACCCCCTCAACCTGCCTGCAGGTACTTGAGCAGTGATCCTAACCCAAAGCCTTTGACCACTAGAACCCTATCCTAACCCTCCTAGTGGGCAGCCCAGTAGCCATGTAGCAGAAGTCTCAAGCCATGCTGACCCCATGGCTGGCCCTTCCTTCTCTTGCAAGTCTGGTATGGGGAAGATGGGTCAGGGCAATCCTGAGACCTCTTCAACCATGGCAGGGTCAGGAACAGCCCTGGGACTGGACCCAGGGAGTCCAACCCAGATGCTATCTCCCTCAGCAGTATTAGTACTCTCTTTTTCCTCCTCCCCACTCCCAAAGAGCAGGGGATTCCTTCTTTATTATACCCTGTCACCCTTGGCCCACCTCAACTTTGCATCCTCTTCAGCGACCAACTGCTTTGTCTGTTTGTTCTATCCAGAAAGGAGCCAAGGCCTGCTAAAACTGTTCCTTTTTTCCTTAATTCCTCCACCCCAGTCTGTTCTCAGTCCTGTTCTCCCAATCTGGCACCTTCTGGAATCCTAGAGTCAAATGGCTCTCCCTGCTCTTTCTACCCACTGGTAAACAGTGTCCAACCAAACCCTAGTGTTTCTCTCCTTTTTTCTTTCCTTTCCCCCTCCCAAAGCAAAGCACAAAGAGCACAGCACATAAGGGATGTGTCAAGGCATTCCCCTCTCCCGGACCCAGCAGCTGTTCCCCAGGTAGCCCACCATTACAGCCTTCAAGAGGACCAAGGACACTGGGGTGGCCATCTCCTCAAGTCCTTTTTGACCCTCCATTGCCAGGAACTCCCTGGGTAGACATGAAGATTGGCATCATTTCTTTGTTCTCAGATGGATGAGGACCAGGCAGGGTGCTAGGGTTGGACAAGCGGAAGAGGGTCCCAGCCCCCCTTATGGCATAGTTGGGCTATGCCACCTCACAGGAGAGATGCCCAGTGACACCATAGATACCCAGCCTATTGGGAAGGATAGATAGCAGAGAAATACAGTGAGAATTAGGCTTCCTAGCTAGGACTGGTGCAACAGCCACCCCGGCTGCTTCCTGCTGGTCACCCCCATGCCATCTACTGTTCTCCCTTCCCTTATTTGATTACAGGTTTTGATAACATTATTCCACCACAAAATCCATCTGAGCTCCCTTCCTTTTATCAGACCCCACAGCAGCTACATACAAACATAGCAGATACCTAATGCTTGTGCTGACACTCCACACACAGACACACGTAGGTGTACATGTCCACATCACATGTATAGGTACATATACACAAGTCCAGTTGTATACACGCTCAGACATGGGCAACTTGCAAATATGCATACACATACATACCCACACACCCCTCTCGCCAAGAGGGGTAGGCTTGATCTTGCTTGAATGAAGCACTGTAGGGGGAATGCCTTTCTGATCTCAAGTCAAAAGGTGACCAAGTTTCAAGGGGTACTGGGAGAAAGAGACAGGGGTCCCAATAAACCAGGCACTGTTACTCTCTGCTTCCCCCCCACCCTGCCCAAGTCACATGTGCAATAATTGTCCCAAGTAAGAACCAGAGAGCTAATAATGCTGTCGCTAGGGAAAAGAAGGAGTGAGCCAAGCACAAAGAGGTGACGGGGGTCACATGGGTGCTCCCAGTGAAGAGACTGTGTCCTGAGAATGCGTAGGAAAGGAGGGAGGATGGTCACGAGAAAGACCCTCCCCAGGTCCTGACCTTTTCTCAAAGCATTGTCGGGTTGGAGGGGGAGAGATAAGGGATATGGGAAGCCCCTTTGGTTTGGTGATCCTGGGAATCCCTTATGTCTTCTCCAGTCCACCCTCCTCTGACATCCCATCCAATCAGAGTAAGGACATTTTCGTGTGAATGAGGCCTGGATAGCTGGTCGTGTCTTTCCTGGCCCCATGGAACTAATACGGAGAAGGTATCTCCTTCCCACCCCCCTTAAATCCCGCCACTCCCCAGCATCTAGGAGCTGAGTAGCAAGTTGGACTAAGTGAAACTCTTTAAAGAGTCCAAGTTTGGATTCCTCAATATTGATGCTTTTGATGGCTCAGATGGGAAACCCAGGAGAGCTGGGTGAGGGAGTGAGGATATGTGTTTTAAGTGGAGTTTTTGTGTTGTTGTTGTTGTTATTGTTACTTTTTTTTTTTTTTTTTTTAAGAAAAAAATCAAGGAGAAGTCCCCTCCTTGCCCAAGATTGTAATGAGCTGCCTTTTTTTCCTCTCTCCTCTCCCTTATTTCTTTGGTTGAGTGAAGCATTATCAGGGGATGGGCCCGCCAGATTCTCAATTCTGACTATTGAGCGGGGTGTTTGTTCCCCCTTTGTATAAAAAAATTATGGGTAAAAATGTACTGAGGAAAAAAAATGTACTTTTTTATAAATAAAGAGTTTAAAACAAATTCTGTTGTCTTGTGTGTACCATTTTCTTCCATCTTAAGTTTTCAAGATCAACCTCCCCCAAAAATCGTGATTTGGTTTGGGGTGTCCTTGGCCCAGGGCAGGCTGTTTCCTGAGGACTCTGGCAGCTGCTTGGCATTGGAATCTCTCCCTCCCATTTTAGACGTCTCTAGGTGAGGCCAAGAAAAACTGGATCGTAGCCTCCCCCCACCCCTCCTTATTTTGCTCTTGCTGTTGTCCAGACCTGAGTCTGAAGGTTTCCTAGCATAGTTCTTTCACTCTTAGTCCCCTAGAGCACATACATGGTTCCTCATAGGAACATAACTTTAAATCTAGAAGGGATCCTAAGAGGCCAGTCGTATCTAGACCAACATCCTCATTTTACAAATGAGGAAACTAAGGTTGAGAGAGATGAAACAAAATCTTTGCTAAGATGATTTAGTGAAGGTCACGCACACACAGTAAGTGCTAAAAATCAGAATTTGAACCCAGCTCCTCTGACTCTAAAGCTGTCATTCTTTTCATGTGATGACTTAGCTTCTCTTAGGCTGTGCCTTCCAGGAGTCTTGGACCCAAGTCTTTTTTCTTCAAGTTCACCTAGCCAGTGGCTAGGGCATGACATCTTGGCAGAGTCCTTCACAAAAGAGCTCTTAAGTCAGCTTCATGACCAAGAGAGATTCCAGCTTATGAACAGTGAGTGCCAAGACCTCAGGAGGTGCCCAATACCCTGGGCTTAGCACTTACTATGGGCATAGCCCCAAGCTTGGCACCATGGGGAGGCACTGGCAGGAGCAGAGCAGTCTTCTCTCAGACTTAAAGTGAATAGTAGTCATAGAAATGAATACAAATTGATGTCACCCAAAGTTACCCAAGCTAAACTCAGTAGCTCATTTGGTGATAATGAGAACAAGGGCATTAGTTAAATTTCTGAAGGTGGAGGTTGGGGTGGAGGAGACATCTCTGTCCCAAATTGGGCATAGAAAAGGGTGATCTATGATTTTGGTCTCGGCTTATACTTGGTAATTACAGCAAATGTGTACATTTCAATCAACATTTATTAGCTTGTCTTATGATGTGCCAGGCATCATAAGCACTAGACATACAAAAGACTAAAGTGAAACAGTCCCTGTCCCCAAGACGCTTACATTCTGATGGAAAGGTAATTGGGTTTGGCTGTCTGTGGCATTGTGACAGGAAGCTGCTGGACAGATGCAGGACAGAAGAGGGAAAAGAATTTAATTAGCAGAGTGTCTGTAGCCAAAGCTAAAGAAGGTCCTAGGAACAGTCGGGACCAACTCTAAATGGTCTCTGCCTCCCCAGAGCCCTCTCTATCCACTTTGTTCCAGAAACTGAAGGGTTTGGACTGCTATACAAAGGTTCCCCAGTTTGAGAGATTCAGAGTAGTGGAATTAGAAGAAATATCAATAAGAGATAATCTAATCCACGGAATCTTAACCTTTTTTAATGGACCCTTTCTCAGAAAAATAATTCCAGAAGTATAAAATAAACTTTGTAATCACAAGGGAAATAAACTATATTGAAAGTTTGTTTTTTTTTAAAGCTCAAGGACCCCAGGTTAAGTATTCCTCATTTAGTCCAACCCAGGGGTGGAGAACCTGGGGCCTCAAGGCCACATGTGGCCCTTTGACTGAATCCAAACTTCACAGAACAAATTCCCGTAATAAAAGGATTTGTTCTGTAAAACTTGGACTCAGTCAAATGGTCACACCCAAGGACCTAGAAGGCCACAGATTCCCCACCCCTGGCAACTTATTCCTTTCATAGATTGACAAACCCAGAGGGGAAAGTTACTTGTTCAAAGTCACAAAGCAAGTTGATAAGTAGACCTAGAGCTCAAAGGGCCCCCAGAAGCCATCTACCCAACCTCCTTATTTTACAGATGAGGAAACATGTCCAGAGAAGGGTTAAGAGACTTGTCCAAAGTCACACCAAAAGTAGTGCTAGTATGGGTACTAGAATCCACGTTTCCTAATTCTAGGGGCTTTTCCACTGTACTGCACTGTTATCTAAACTCCAGTTCCCCTTCCCTCCTCCCTTCTTGTTTTCTCCTTTACTCCTGCTGAGTCCTTCAGAGAAAACCACCAGGTTCACACTTGTCAAGTTGAACTGTTTCCCTGGAGAGGGGATGGGTGGAGGATAGAGGATAGTCAGCTTTGCCCTCTGACCTTACAATGTGAGCACCCCGAATGAGCCTCCTCCCCACAAAGCACCTCCTCCCAGAAGGGTTTACACAGTCATCCTCAGGTTGCCCTGTAGTTACTAACCCTCATCCTGCTCCAGCATCCCCCCCCCCAACCCCAACCCACCATCTGCTTCCCATCTCCAGGTCAGGAATGCAGTACAAATCGATCCTTTCCAAGGAAGGGGGGTGGCAGTGGCTGTTCCAGTAGCTACCCCACCTCCAAATAGTTTCTCCTTTCACTGAAATCAACACCAGGAGATCAGGCTGCATCATTGAGAAAGAGAAGAGAGGAGGTGGGTTTGGGTGGAATGATAGAAAATTAGAACTGAAAGAGATGTTAGAGATCATCTAATCCAACTCCCTCATTTTACAGATGATGAAACCAGGAGGAAAAGACTTGTTCAAGGTCACACAGCTAGTAAGTTGGAAAGCTGGAACTCAACCCTGTATCTTCTGACTCTGGGCTCAATGTTGTTTCCACTTTGCCATGTTGCTGCTGTAAACCATGGTGTCTGATTAGGGGATGGTACTACTTGCCAGCCTGCGGGGACAGGGGATAGACCTAGACACTGATGTAGTGTAGAGCTTAGGCATAGTGCTTGAAAGAAGAGCCAGACATAAAGCAAAGCGGGGTATGGGGGAAGATCTTTCCCAGCTGTGGGCAGCTGGAAGGACCCAGGGTCTCTGAGCCAAACTAGCAGACTTGGGTGAGGCAAGCTGGAGGGTGTGTGTAAAGAGAGTGTTGTTTGGATACTGGTATGCTAATGAGATGCAAATTGTCCATTTAAACGGTCACTTCCCAGGTTTTCCTGGCCATCCGATTAAGTTAATTTTTAATTTGTGCTGGCAATAAATGCTTAATTACATTATTAATATATTGGAGTGGAGCAGTGGATGGAGCACTCTAATTGGCATTTAACTAGATCGTTCTGGCAAATTAGCTGAGCTTTTCTCAGGCAACAGGAGGAGGATGTCCCAATTAGTCCCCCATGCTGAGAACTTCTCCCTAGCTTCTCCTGGCAGAGCTTAGGGCAGGGGCACTCCAGACCCTAGTCTCTCCCTTCAGAACCAAACTCCAGAATACCACTATGGTCTGCAAACAGCCTCATGTCCCTGTGCAGGAAATCTCTCGCTGAACAAGGGCATCTGACCCCAGGACATTGGGAAAGAGGCCTGTAGGCCATGTGGCCTAGTTATAGAGGATAGGTAAGAAATTCTATCAGAAAGTTATGGGAAATGAATCCAATGACTTACGGGAGAATCCTGTTTGTCCTTCTCCCATAGGGAGGGAAACAGCAGTTACAGTAGCTTAATCCTCAGGACACTTAATGTCCACCTAGAACCCACGAGCTTCAGGAGTGCCTTTAGAATGTGCCCCATCTATTCTACGGAGGTTGTCCTACTTTGACTGATGATGGAAGAGCATGGATGGCTGAGACATAATAATAGTCAACATACATATAGTACTTTAATGTTTACAAAGCACTTTGTATGTATTTCCTCATTCGAGCCTCATGATAACCTTGGGGCAGGGTGCTATTATCATCCCCATTTAATGGATGAAGAAACTGAAGGTCACAAAGGTTAAATGACTTGCCCATTGTCACATAGCTGGTTAGTGTGAAGAGGAAGGATTTGAACCCAAGCCTTCCAGATTCCAAGTTCAGCTGTGGGTGTGAGTGGGTGTGGGAGAGAAAGAGAGAAAGAAGAGAGAAAGAGAGAGAAGATAGAGATGAGATGAGAGAAACAGACAAAAAGAGGGATGAGAGATAAGATAGAGATGAGATGAGATAGAGATGAAAGAAACAAAGACAAAGAGGTGAAATAAAGATGAGAGATAAGATAGAGAAATGAGATGACAGGAGAAAGAGAGAGAGAGAACAGGAAAGGAGTATCCCCAGTGGTGGTATTCAGAAGCA